CGCACATTAATTCACAGTTCCCTTAGGGGAAATAGCTCCAGCCCCAGCCTCCATATGTACCATTACTTCAAGGGTTATCTTCATTGAAGAGCGTTCCCAGTGTAAACAAGAAAGTCTGTATTTCTTCAATATTGAAAAAGAAAAAAAATCTTGGCTTTGGTTTAGTTGAATACTTCCTTTTTAAACTAAAGAAAATCAAGCAAAGAAACACCAACCAAACAAAAAACATCTTCCTTATGCTAAACATTTTAATCTATCAATCACCAAGTTTTTGAAACTTGCCACATCATTAAACACCACTAAAAGCCACACAGAACAAAAACATTATCACTAGAGATACATCGCTTGAGCACAGGCTCATGAAGGAAGATGTTTTTACAGCGTTTCCTGAAAAATCCACATAATTGGATAGCCTCTACAGTGGAGCTGCCTCTTCCCTGCTGGGTCTGAACATACCTCTTTTGGCAAGGAATTACTTAGCGCCTAGCAGCAGGACTAGCAGTGGTCTCTCTCTCTCTCTGTCATTATGACCAAGTTGGACACGGCACTTGTGTTGACACATCTTGGGTTCAAACTCCTGCAGACTGCAGGCAGTCTTTATGTTTGAAATCATTCACAGAAAGTACAGTTTGGAACGATTTAGGGGTTTCTTTGTGGAAGTATTCTACTACCACTTAACATGAAATACATAGGAACTGCCTCGGCGCTGGTCAGTTCATTAAAGAATCAACTGTTCTTTCTCCATGTCCACTTTTAGGACCTATTTTTGAGAGCTTTTCTGGTCACATGCAGGCTGGATATTAAATGAAACTGGAGAGCCTATCTGAAGCACCAGCAAGAGGGAATGTGAGAGCTAAGAGTGTGGGAAATCTTGAGAGGAGCTTGAACATTCTTTGAACATGCTGTCAAAACAAGGATTAGTCAAAAAATACCATCCTCTGCAGCCCAAAATCTGCCTGTCAATGCACCAATGCTTAATCCAAGGCAGCCCTCCAAGATCAGTTGTCCTGACTGCTGGCACACCTGCCCCATGATGGAGATGCTGGAAGCTGTGTGGTCCCTCAGCTGAAGCCAGTCTGCTGATGATCCCTCCCAGAGTCCTGTTTGGTAGCAAGCGCCAGCAGCTGCATAGGCAAATTGGCACCGCTGCCCATTCATGCTGGAGGTGGCAGTAAAAGTGACAAGAACATCAGTCTCACTCTGCTGAAATGCCCTGTCCTGGGAGTTTGTCACTCAGCACAGATTTCAGAATCAGAAAAATGTTTCTAGCTCAGATAACACTGATGTAGAAAACAAACCCAGAAAGAGAAGGATGGGGAGGTTATTACATATCATGGAAGCTCCTCTTTTTGGCTAGCTCTTCTAAAGGGTGAAAAACAACTCCACAGTACCTGGGGTTTGACAACATGCCCTCTGCTTGGCCCTGAAGCTCCCATGCCATCTTTCAGTTCCTCCTCTAAGGACCCAAGAGTTTTCCAGTATGTCATAAAATCACTCTTGGCTCTTCCAAATTAGTTTGGACACAACTCATTTCAATTAAACAAGGCTTCCAGTAATGTATTTCAAACACTTTTGCTCGAACATGTAATGAGTAAAAATGGCTAAGAGGAGCGACAGTGACCTACTTGGGGAATTTCTCCTGCAAGGGAAATAAATAGAAGGTTGTTAGATACTTTTGCACTGCATAATCAGTTTGCACTGTTAGTATCCCCAGACAGTGGTATGTGTGTAAGAGGGTGCTGCAGTTGGGATCATTACTCCTCACCAGCAATGGCTGCAGCAGCATCTTTCTGACACCACTTTCCCACAAGAAACCCAGAGGAAAGAACAGTGATAGATCATAAAACTGCTGTGAGCATGAAGTTACTGCCCCTTCCAGAGAGTCTGACCTCCACAAGCAAAGCCTCTCTCTCCAGCCCCTGAAGGCACAGTTAACAAACTTCAAGTCCCTGTCTTTGCAGTGAGAGTGCTTTCCTGGAAATGGGGACCTGGATCCTACCCCAACTCTAATGGCTATCCACAGATTTTACATGAAACAACCCTTGGGTAAAACACGGAAACATCCAGTGAGCAGAAGGATGTGGTGCTGCCGGCAGTGAATCCCCAGCAGTCCTTCCTCCACCCCACACATCCCCCCTCCTGACCTGCAAAAAAACAGACATCTTCCTGCTGCACATTTCTTATTTTGGTACCAGTTCTGAGCCACCTCCTCCTCCCTGGGGTCCTCTCCTGCACCCTCCCTAGGAGGTCGTCTTTGGCTAGCAAACCCCCTTGTGCTGGGCTCCTCCAGGAACAGAAGGATGCTTTCATGAGGAACATGTGCATCATGAATCTGCAGGAAAAATATCCATATGCTGTAGCACAACCTGAGATTTCAAAACAGAAGCTCTTCCTGCATCAGAGTTGAAGCAAAGCTTTGAAGGCTTTTTTGCGGTGCAAGATCTGCCACTAACTGGGAGGTGCAGAATGGGTAGGAACTGGGTCCAAGTCTTTCACCAACAAGCAGCAAAAAAAAAAAAAACCTCCACAAAAATATATATCTATATATCTATGATGTCATTTACCTACATTTGAAAACTGCCCTCATTTCTTGGCACTTGAACCACATCTGTCTTCAGAACAGCGACTTTCCGTCTTCCACTTCAATACATTTAATTCTTTAGTGTTCTGGTATCAGCAAGGACATTAAAACTATTACAAAACATGTCAGTAAAACATATGTCCATTACATAAACTTATATGAATGCAGTGGGACTAAAAGCTGTGCCATTATGTTAATACTATTGAAAACATATATCTATATGTATAGATGTGCGTGTGTTAGTAGCTATATTGATACAGTAAGTGTATGTGTGAAATCCAGCCCACTGCTGTCAGTAGCAAAACTCCCTGTGGATCCAAAATTATACAGAACTTCATCTTATAAGCAGATTTACAGGTATTCTAGTTGAGATGTTGAAGACCACCAGGAGAATTTGGCATCCAAATTCCATATGCAACTTCAAAAGTCTATGCTTTGAAAATCTGGGTGTATAGTCAATTACATTGGTTGGCAAACACAACTGTAGGTTGCTGCCAAATTATTGTTTAGCTACAAATAATTGTACATGCACACTCCTATGAACTTTATTTATGAACATGTTTTTCCAAAAGCACAACTTTGGGTGCAGATGCACACCTCCCATCCTGACAATTCAGTCCTTACCTTGTACCTGCTATTTAGCCCTTAAAATCCCACACACAGCAAACAAACAAAAAAGAATTAAAAAGGTTTTCCCCAGACTTCCCCTGGAGCAATATCCAAAATACACTGTTTGGTTTATCCCTGATGAAATCTTGAAACCAAACAAGCAAACCCCTCAAATGAGCTTCCCAGGTCTGAGCAGATACAGCTTAATTTGCCACAGTCCTTTGTGGAGCTGCTGTTCCAGGGAAAGCAGCAGGTCTTGATCTTGGCCTCTAACAGATGGCCCCAACAATATGACAGTAATAGCATCTGACATGTGTTGTTTCAATGATCTCTCTATCTTTCGGAGAAGTATGCAAGCGTTACATACCGTGTGCTGCTTCAGATTGTTATTTTTGGCATGCTTCTGCTGGCATATGTTATGATGAACCATTCACAACATCTTACATTTCCATCATAAAATAAAGAGGAAATAAGAGAGTAGGTCCATAATACTATCATTCAACCCTGTTCCCAAGGTAATATTTCCTTTGCATAAGGGTCAGCTCCAAAGAAACCAAAACCCAAACTGCATATTGAGGGATTAGCTGTATTCCAGAAACTAGAGTCCTGGGGATGGTACAGAGACAGGTTGATGGAAATATTTATGGCCTGGCTCTCAGTGTGTTTCAGTGACACATAATCAGTTTTCTACAGTGTGCATCAAACAGCGGCAAACTACAGTCTGAGTGGCACCTGGTAATTAGGGGGCTATGAGGAGAGGAATGGAGGTAAGTCAGAAAGCACTGAGTGTCCCACCAAAGCAGAGTTTACCTGATAATTACAGGGGTAATGAACATTTCCCCTTCCAAGCCCAGAGGATTTTCTTAAGGAACTTGTGATTTTACTCATTGCCAGGTTTAACAAAACAGGATTTCAGGCAGTGAAATGCTGTCAAGTCCAAGTAGCAAAATCTAGCTAAAGCAGAAACATCAATGATTTTCACTGAGTGCAAGTCATTGACATGTCTTAGCACCATAAACCACTCCTGATTTCTTTATTTCACAAATGAGCTGCTGCCAAATAGAGGACAGACGGCCACAGGGAAACCCATCTCAGCTGCTTTCCTCAATTTGCAGTTACACCCCAGACCATTTTTCCTCCTTAAAAGCTTATCTAGCTCCTCATAAAATTATTTGTTATTGCTATGTGGGCTGTTTATTCAGTCGATGGAGGACAGGCTCCAACAGCCCTCACTCCTTACCCCTCCAGGCCCTTCCCTCTCCTTGACTTCAGTCAGTGCTGCCTTTTCCTCTGGCTTGGCTCAGCCTCACTCAGCTCCCACAGCCCCATTTCTCCCCCACAGTCCTGTGCCTTTTTTAAGCCACCTCTTCTCCAAAGAAGCAGGGACTCCTTTTAGTGCCTCTGAAGGGGCTTTTAAGCACAGAGGTGTGAAAAAGCTACAACACAGAGACAGAGGTGAAAAAAAAAAACCCACGAGGTTTGGTTGTTCGGTTTAAAAGAAGAAAGCCAAACATTTTGCAGCATAGCCTTGAATTTTTCTCTGCAGGAAGAGGAAAGCTGCATGCATCTGTAACAAAGGTGCCAAAACTTGTGCAAAGGTGCATCATTTGCACCAGAAGCATTAGAGATGTTTCAGGAGTCACAGCCCTCAAAAGTGACTACATCTCTCCCATTCTGGCTATAGGCCATGAGAGGGGCTTAGAAAAAAATGGAGACTAAGAACGAAGAATCCCAGCCAAATGACATGGAGAAGAATGTCTGACTGCAGTGTGCTGAAAACCTGCTGGGAAAAGGCAAGGGGGAAAGCAGGGAAGAGGCCACTGTGATGGAGACAAGGCCAAATGCAGACTGGAGCTCTTTGGATACAGGACAGACAGGGGAAGACCTGAGTCTCCATGAAGCCACTGGGGTGTCAATACCAATGCCAGCGTCTCCAATTAACAGCACTCAGGCTATTTAAACATACTCACTTGCACTGGTATCCATGATGGCTCAGACTACTACAGCAGAAAGAGTGGGACAAGGAAGAAGGATGAGAGGCAACCAGCCTGCTCTGCAGGAGGGACAATCTCGGATGGCTCTGGGGAAAGATTTCTGCCTTTGGCATCAGTGCAACAGAAGTGGCTGCCCTCTGGGGTTGGGCGTTGTGATGGGTGAGACAAACAAAGCTCCAGCTCCCATTTCTTCTGCAGTCACCAGAGGGACTCGTCACCCATATGCAGAAGACATCTGATGCCTTCTTCCTTTCTGTATCATTGTTCTTCTTTCCTGTGCTTTTATTTCCCTGCACATCTCAGCATACCCCTTCCAAACCTCCAGATAAAACACTCAGCAATAAAGCAAGTGGCACTGACATTGAGTGAAACCAAGGAGTGCGAAGCTGGCACTTCACTGAGATGAATGAAGTGGAAAGGTTCATGCTTTTGGTTAAGGCTGCCTGCAGACAGACAGAAAACATTAGGTTAATTAGGCTGGGACTTTTTTTTTTTGGCAAACAGTTAGAAATTCACTAGTTTTAACAGATTTGGTACTCTGTGATGCACTCACACCAGTCTTTTTAACTCAACTCACTTAGACACAAGAGAGTTATTTTACATGAAATTATAGAGCAAAACTGACATTTCTCCCTAAACTAAAGGAACGTTTCCAAACAGCTCCAATCCACGCTCATCTTTACAGTTCAGTACTCACTTAAGAGCTGTTCTAGTTTGGGTAATATCTTTGCAGAAAATGGCACAGTCAGATTCCATATTTACAATTTTTCCAGACTTCCACATCTACTCACCTTGTTAAAAGTTAAAAGGAATTCATTGCTTTTTCCCAGACTACTTGTCCTCCAAACTCAGCCTGGAACCTAAAATTAAAAAAAAAAAAAAAAAAGCAGAAAAAAAGCTATTGTAGTTGGTTTTTCACTATCTATCTCAGACATCATCAGTAATAAGCACATAAAATGCAATATCATGAGTTTTAACCATCTTAGTCATTGCTGTGGTGTCCCAAGGGTATGTGGGAAGACTACAGCCAGCCTGTAGATCCTATCTGTACAGGTGCAAGGGGCCACTTGTGGTCACACCATCACTGTGCCTGTCTGCTGCCACTTGCCTGTTAGCACAGGTAGTGCCATGGAGCCTGCCATATTGACAGCCACCCCCTTTTCCCCTGAAATAAAGGGTTATCACTTTCTCCTTTGGTCACAAAGGAGGCCAAAATACCAGTATCTCCATTAAACAACATAGAGACTTCACGTTTTTTAATCAGGGTAAGATAGCTCTTGTGCTAACTCAAATCCCCACTGTACCTCTGAGAGGAATACTCACTCTAAGTAGTGGTAGTTAAGCTAAGGAGAAAGTAAAATCCAAGTAACTTTGTCCTAACGCTGGGCTTCATCTTGCTCCCTCCAGTTCTTGACGCACAGAGCCTGAGTTCTTAGCAGAGATGGACCATGCATCAGCAGCTGCAATGTCCAGCCTAGAGAAGAGGTGCTTGACTCTCTTCTTTCAGGCAGAAGACCTTTTATAGCTTTGGTCAGCTCTGCTTCCAGAAGGCCACTGAATTTTGGAGAACAGGAGAAAGGAGTTTCCCTGCCTGAGTTTTAAAAGGAGCAGACAACACTCTCCTGATTTTGTGAAATTAGTCTTCCTAGTCCCAATCAACTGTTCATGACTTCCAGGAGACTTGCTCAGGGAAACGCCTGATTGGAAATCACAGCAACTGAGTGATGACAGTGGCAACTCTGGGTCTTTCCAGAGATTTAAGAACAGGGAAATGCCAGAGTTAATCCTTATGGCACTTAAAGAATTCATATATCTTTAGTAAGCAGGAAAAGAGGTTGTGTTTTCCATGTTTTTTGACTTAGATGTCTACACTTTGCCTAAACAATACTTTCATGCCCTCTTTTTTGGCACTGATGCCTAAATTCAGGAAAAGACCTGCTGAAGACATTGGGTTATTTTCCTACTAACTGGCTACCCCTTTAATTAACTCCTACATAAATAGAAAATTGACAGCCTGATGTCATTCCTGATGTTGATGCTGGTGATATTAAGGTTGATTTTAAGTGGCTCTCCATTCTGTAATGAGACTGGTACTCTATTCAGTTCCTGGTGAAAGCTAGAGAGCAGGAAAGATTAGGCTGGTGGAAGATGAAAATGTTACTGGGAAAAGCACTCAAGGAACATTATAAACAACCTTTGGATAGAAGGAGCCTTACTTCGGTTTGCAGCCGAAAGGCCCAGTTAGATGCTCAACCAGCACCTGGCAATCATGTAGCTGCATTAGCTGGCATGGGGTCTCTCAACTCCAGCTGGTCAGGAGCTTGCAAAATGACTGTCCATTACATTTATTATCTCCTGATTATTCTATTTACAACACATGCTCTCCCCAGGGGGGCCCCTGGACAAGCTGCTGCAGAATCACTGTATGCAGCAGTTGTACTGTGGAGGCTCCTACTGTAAGCACTCGCCTTCAGCACTCAAGAATCTGTACTGGCAAGCTGTTAGTTTTCACCTATAATTACCCAAATGGTTTGGGATCTCCCTGTCTGTGAGACACTTCTCTCCTCAGGTGATCAGACTGTCACACTGGCACTCAGAGGATATGCTCAAGCTGTTGCCTTGCCAATTTAAGAAAGAGCAGGACCTGCTTGCAACGATTTTGCTGAAGAGGGCTCCAAGCTTTGAGGTATTTTCCCTTAGCTTTAACAGAAAGGTAAAATTCCATGGAATCTCTTGACTTTTACAAGTACCTCATAAAATCTAACAAAGCTTCTGCAGTGATGATAGCAGTGGTAAAGAGGAGGCATGCAATCAGTATTTGTGAGTTGGACACATCATTGCTTATCTACATTTCACTACTCAGCACTTAATCTGTAAATAAAAAGGACATCACTGGATTATGGATCCAAATCAGAAAAAAATAAAGGACTGTATCTTTTCTGAGAACTTTAAGGAGAGTGGGGGAGGAAGAGAACACAGGTCCCTGACAGAAATACATCAAATCAATGGCAAGACTTGCACTGTGGCAAAAAGATTTTGCAGTTCTGAGCGGGACACAAGAGCCCTCCACATTTTCATTAACAAACAAACTCGTCACCTACTATTTCCAAACAATTCACCCACAGCATTCAGATCAACCACCCAAACTATCAACACTGTGAGAACAAAAATGCAGCTCAAGCTTAATTTCTTTCACTTTTTTTTCCTTTGTAAAGCACCACACATCTCAGCCTGATTTTCATTTTGCCTACAACTCTCTACCTGATTTACATTCACATGCCAATATGCCTGCCATCAAATTTGCTCACACCATTTCCTTGTAGACCCCAAGAGCTGAGCACAGAAAGTTAATGTTGTTAGTTTAATGCCTTGAGACGGAGAATTAAAAGCTGTTCTCCTGGCATCAAATTAACCCCAGCTTTTTTGAATATAAAGTATATAGCAAGGGGCGACTCCCTAGGTCTTTATCAAATGGGTGAAATATGCCCACATGCACAGAGACTGAGATTAACATGAATTTACATAAAGCAATATGGACCTGTGTGGAAGAGCGGGTTGTATGAGGGAATACAAGGACCAACGCACACTGCCCACGGAAATCATTATTCTGTAGGAATGGTCACATTTTTTCCATGTGATGGATGAACAGCAGATTGTGTTTTGATACTGATTTTGGAACAGACCATTGAAATTAGCTAGTGGGGTCAAAGAGAATGAGGATATGAACTTACTGACTCCAGATAACAATATCCTCAGTTTCTACCTCATCCATAAAGCTATATTCTTGGTGTATGTCCTACTTCATCACCTCCAGAAGTCCAGGAGAATGAGGTTCCATCTGTGGTTTTCATAGAATCATAGAATAGTTAGGGTTGGAAAGGACCTTAAGATCATCTAGTTCCACCCCCCCTGCCATGGGCAGGGATACCTCACACGAAACCATATCACTCAAGGCTCTGTCTAACCTGGCCTTGAACACTGCAGGGATGGAGCATTCACAACCTCCCTGGACAACCCATTCCAGTGCCTCACCACCCTTACAGTCACAAACTTCTCGCTTATATCCAATCTATACTTCCGCCGTTTAAGTTTGAACCCATTACCCCTTGTCCCATCACTATAGTCCTAATGAAGAGTCCCTCCCCAGTATCCCTATAGGCCCCCTTCAGATACTGGAAGGCTGCTATGAGGTCTCCACGCAGCCTTCTCTTCTCCAGGCTGAACAGCCCCAACTTCCTGGAAGCTCCCCTGTGCCACTGCCCTGTGTGGCCTCCCCACACCCCAGCACGGCCTTTCTTCCTCCTTCTCCCTCCAGGCTCATGTGTCTGCCAGCTAATAGAGTAGGGCTGTCACCTTGACAGGGTCAGGAGGGCTGGAGACACCCTGTGCTGGAGTACGAGGGCATTCACATGAGGAGGGGGGGAGAGAAGAAGGAAGTCCTGGTGCCTCCCTGTGCTGTGGCACCTACCACAGGTGTAAAACCCGGCCTCTCCTTCCCCTGCTGCCTGACCAGAGCAGACAGAGAGCAAGAATTAAACGCCACCCATCCTTTGCATGGGTACGGCTGTAGCTGATGGTTGCACAATACCAAAACACAGCCTGTGGCTCTGCCTCCTCACACTCCCGCACACACGTCAGCCCGGAGCTGTCACTCAGGCAAATATTTTCCTGGCCTTGCCCCAAGCCGGTGACTGACTTCCAAGGACTCCCACTGGGAGAGCCCCCTGGGTGCCCACGGATGTGAACAGCCCCTTGTCATCAGCAGTTAATTACCCCTTTTAACACAGCAGCTGTAGATTCTTCAGGGTTGTATAAACAATGCCTGTCTCCTTATCTATTGAAGTTCCAATCTGGCCCCTCATCAACATACTTTCTGCGCTGTAATTATAACATTATTAATGGTTATCCATCCTCTGGGAAGGAAAGTAATCTTGACTACACCAGTTAATCAATACTTGGACGAATGAACTAAGCTTTTCTCTGGGCCAGGACAAGTAATTGTAATTATGAGATGTGATCAGCTGGTGAAGTACAGCTACTAACGTGTATCAGCGAAGTGAAGCTTAGGTATCTACCAAAAGACTGGTTTCACAGAGGCAGTATTTCTTTAAGTGTAGTTAAGCACTTGTCAGGAATCATTAGCTTTAGCTAATCAGTTATCATCCTAAGGAATGACAAGTGAGAGTCTAGTGGACTGACTGTCGAGGTCCCTTGTTGGCACCACTGTCCATCTGTCCATGTGAGCACTGAGCAGAAGGCACAGCATTCACAGTGAGGTCGCAGGGCATCAAAGGGAAAGGCATCAGAAGGCAGGGTGGATACGGACCAAAGAAAACAGTAATTTGCTACAAGTCTTGAACACTTTGAGGCATCTGGTAGTCAGTATGGGTTAGTTACGTTATGTTTGCTCTGTTTTCTGCAGAAGAACCGCATGTGCAACTTTGCAGAACCCTGGGCAGCAATTACAGCATAGGAGACCATGGAAAAATCTGCTCAGAAAATAATCTGGCCTCTTTTCAATTTACATGTAGATACATACACACACTGAAAAACTGTATTGCCTAACTGAGGAGCCACACACTAGATTAATGAGGGTAAATAGTAATTTAAACACAGAAGGGAAGGAGGGCAATAAAATACCAGTTTGCTTGTTTGCTTTAGTGTTCTAATAAGACTAGAATAAGTAGTTTTTGTTTAGGGCTTTACAGATCCCAGTACTGGGAAATGCCCAACAGTGAAAGGTGTGCAGGCTGCAAACACTCAGGCAAATGTGTGAATGTAGATGTACTGTCTGTCATCTTAGCACAAAACGTTGTACAGGGATCTGCAAGAAATAAAGGTCCTTTTTACAGCAGCAAAGATGAAGCCGTCTTCTGAAAGGGAAACACAAGTCATCTTTCACCATGCTGTAGCACCTCAGGCAACTGAAAGTAAGGTTAAAGATGGAATCAAAGGGCACAGATGCTGTCTATAACAACTTCTGGGGTGAGACTGCCAGAGAGGCTGGCCAGGAGAGCAGTCACTCGGTGATGCTGGAAATTGAAGTTTTTCGTTTGCGCTACTTGTTTACCAGCAAAAGGAAAACCAGTTTATGGTTTCTTTCCCTTATGCTATGCCCAGTAGAAAGCAGAAACTCGGGAATTCAAGGGAATCCAGAGAAATCTCCTGTAGCTCCTTAGTAACAGCAATGGCTTTGTGCAAATTTTGCTCAGACCTCCTGTAAGACAGCCTTAGGAGCCACTGTGATCTATACTTAGCTCAAAGAGTCACCTAACTGCCAATGACCATCACAGCAAGGAGACATATTCCTCCTGCTCCTCCAGATGTGTGATTTATTCCAGAGCTAATCAAAATGGCAGATTTCACTTAAGCTCAGACCCCTGACAAGGTTTGCCTGGAACTTAATAAGGTCAGAAAGATCCAGGGTGAGAGCTGCCCAGCTGAATGGAGACACCTAGTAATACTACATCTGCAGTAGTTACCCAAGGCTAATTTTACAGAGAAAAGCTCTCACAGGCTACATTTCATTTCACCGTAAGTAAACTCCTCATAGAAG